TGGTCTAAGACAACTTGAGTTTTTTTTGGAAAAATGAGACCCGACAAACCATGGACCGCTCATTGGATCGCGCATTTTTTATTTTTATTTAATATTTAATAATATAATGATAATTTATTTTTATTTAGTATTTATTAACTAACATTTTTTGTTATTAATAGTAAAATAAATATTAATAAGAGTTATAATTGTAAAAAAAAAAAGTCATAATAAACTCTTAAAATGCTATTCCAAGCAGCATTTTGATAAGCTAGCTTATGGTCATTTAAACATGTACACATAAAATAAGCTAGCTTATGTTTACCAAATAATACCTAAGACCAGTTAAGAGACTAGGACTGGCTATGCCGTAAGATGATGCTTTTTGACCAAGACTTGTCATCCAATTAAGGTCCAATCGTAACCGATTTTTACCCGTCTTAAATGATATATCAGCCTAGGAGCTACTTAATTTCCAATTTTCTCAAAATAAAGATGAAAAATAGTAAAGCATTATATAATGATATGGCATCCTCTCCATTTATATATAACTAGAAGAATACTCGCACAATGCAACAAGATACATTTGATTTTAATATTTCGTTTTATTTTTTTTTTCTCAGTCGATGTTATAACATGGTCTTATGTGATTTTGAAAAGACGATTACGTTTTCAATTTTGAATAAAATATAAATTTGAAGATGTCATTTTATTTTGACAAAAATATATCGATATTAGTATTAAATTAACTATTTAAAAATTTTCATTTTGTGTGTAATTTTTAATTCAATTTTTTTAATATAATATAATTTATATTAAATAATGAAGTAATTTATATTTGGTTTAATAATATATTTTTTTATAAAGTAATAATTAATTATTTTGATAAAACTCAATAATTATACAGTTAGTTATACGAATTCAAATATAAAACTTTAATAAGTCGCACTTACGCACAATTTACTTATAAATTTGAATTTTAAGTAATATACATCAATAAATAGTACTTCATGCATAAAAATTTATTTTCAAAAGTTTTTATCCAATATTTTATAATGTAATATAGATATTTAAGGCTACAACTCATAAATATTATTCTTGAGATTCTATTGCTAACCAGTTTTCTATACATGGTTGTACTCCTACAAATACAACCCATGTAAGAAAACCTAGACAACAATACTGATGTTTAAGAATTACATATATATATATATATATATATATATATATATATATCAAATCCCTATTTTCCAAATCATGTAATCCGGGCCGAATCTCCATCAGATGGAAGCCGTTGAGGAACCGTAGCCGTTAGGATGCGACTTTTGCCATCTCCATGCCACCCGCAAACTCTTCTCAAGATCGGTGTATTGTGCAGACCAGTTGAGCTCACGGAGAATCTTGGATCGGTCACTGAACACTTCGGCATAGTCACCGGGCCGGCGCGGGAGAAAGTCTACTTTGATGGGTGCACCGGTTGCCTTTTTACAAGCTTCCACAAATTCTTTAACCGATCTACCTGTCAAAACCATGAAAGCCGAACAGAGTATGGTTATTTAGGTTCTATCAATTTAGAAAATTAAGAAGAATACCATCTGGCCTTATATCATTGTCACGAAATATTGCTTTTAACTCTTTAGTAAGCCAAACAAGGCCCGGGCCATGCTTCGGGTGTGAAAATAGGAAAAACACTCCGCTTGATCGGACTTTTTAGCCTGGCCTAGGCCCAGGGTGGGCTTTCTTTGTGCATCTTTACCTAGAACCCACCTCCAGATAGGATAGACCGAATCTAGCTTGGTTTGTGTACATCATACAAGTAGGTGGGGAATCAGATACTCTTATCGCTACTTCACAAACGCATTGAGATTGTACCTTTTCCTGTACCAACGTTGTAGATTCCAACATGCCCGGGTTTTGCTTTGTCAAGGGCTTTAACATGAGCATCGACTAGATCAGTGACGTCAATGTAGTCCCGTATGCAAGTCCCATCTGGGGTTTTATAGTCCGTTCCTCGAACCTGCATCGCGTAGGTGACCAACTATTAATGTAAAATTACTAGACACATTCACATGTGCATAAGTAGCATATTCATCTGATTCACAATCTGAAAGATATAACAGCTACGAATAGTACCTTGAGCCCATTTGTGATTCCATGGGCTGCATCAAAGCATGCACCTGATATTCTTCCATGTTCACGTAGTTCGGCCCTTGGTGCTTCCCCTAACCTTCCCTCTGGATCGGAACCAATCACGTTGAAGTATCTGCAAAAGGAAAAGCAAAATAATGAGTCGAATTTTGTCTCTCGCACGGATGACAACTGCTTCTTGAACTTTTGCTTTTTGCTACTATAAACACATAACAAGAAATGTAACTGACTCTTTGTTTCCAACAGATGTGTTCTCTAGGTTTATGGTTTATCATGCACTAAAACCATACTCTTGATGATATAACAGTAATAACACTACTAGTCTGCTCATACTAATCAAGTCAATAAGATGGGGTATTTAGCTCATGAACTTCCATGAAAGTAAAACCAAAACAAACATTCCCAATAGGTCCCACTCGGAAATAGGATCTTGGTAGGATCTTGGTGTATGCAGACAGTTCCTCTACCTAAAAGAGTAAGATGGTTGTTTCCATGAAAGTGAGTTTTTTACAAACCAACCCTTGTGTTGTTTTTACAAGGTTTACAGTGGAAGGTTGTTTAACACAAGAAGCAGCGTATTTAACATCGGAGGCAGGACTTTGAAGGTTATCGAGTAAAATAAAAGAGTAAAACGTCGTCCTCCTAACAAAAAGCTCATTTAAAGTTATATAACTAAAAACCTTAACTAAACAAAATTGTATCTTTCAATGGTTGGATAAGTCATTGAACAGATAGATGCATGCAAATAGTCGTTGGATGATGATTTCCAAAAAGTCGGATCAAGTTAAGGGTCAAAACCACGGTTCACCACAAACTAGAATCGATAAAAGAATGTACTCAAATACCTAAAATACCAACCTTAGAATCATGACCGCCATGTCTGAGTTTTTATGAAAATCCAGGATAATATCTTCTGCCATCTTCTTAGCTTTTCCATAAGGATTGATCGGAATCTGAAGCAACAGAAAAAAGAGCTAAATTGTGCAAAATTTATCGGGGTCGCACTTAAAAAGAGTTTGAAATTACATATGGTCATGTTACCTGAGGAGTTTCTTCTGTAATGGGCATCTTCTCGGGTTCTCCATATGTTGCACATGTACTAGAATATATAAGTGTATTGACATTGTGTGCCGCCATGGCCTCCAATACGCCAAGCGTATTTGATGTGATATTGTGATAATACCTGCAATAAAGAAGATTGAGAACCGTATTTTTTGCATTATAAGCCAGGTACCCCGAGCTCCTATAACACAATTTGTGTCACATCCCGAGCCTAAAGTTTCATAATGGTCAAATAACCTCCATATCAACTAAAGCCATGTTGGAAAGTTATTAGTATTCTACAACCAAGTCCCCGGATGAATTGTCCTAATGATAAGGAGGTGGGAAGCCGTAAGTGGGATCTTAGGTTCGAATCTTCCACCATGATGGTTGTGGGACCGGTGAGGTGGGGGCGCTACAGATGCTGGCGTATACCCTTTTTTGTATTCCACAACTAAGGACTTATAAGAGGCTCACAATGCTAGCTAGCTCAAGGTCGATATAAGACAAAATGACACAAATTCTCCCACTTAAAATCCATGACATACAAAAAGAATCCAAGAATCATTAACCACAGAGATGCATTACTCTAATACCATTTATAACACCCTAAGCCAAAGCAGTTAATTAACCTAATATTCTGCGATCAACTAAACCATGGTGATAAGTCATTAGTATCTTACAACCAAGGACTTACGAGGGTCTCTCACTTCTAACTCGAAATATGTGGGAGTGGGATGGGATGTCATAACCTTTTTTTGATAATCTAAGGCCCTCGGGTTTACAGTCAGACAATCCTCTAGTGGCCGTAAGGGTGTGTTTGTTATGCGGACGGGACTAAATATAACTGGACTAGACGGCCGAGAGTGAGACAGACTAATGAAAGAATTGTGGAGGGATTTAAGGTTCTGATTTGACAACAAGTAGTTTAGTAATTTACCAATGTTGTCCCATGTCCCTAATTTTTGCTCCACCTATTTTGATGGGACAAAATAAGTGCATTATGTCCCACTCTGTCACGTCCTATCCAAGTTTGAAGTCGCTCCAAACATCGGACAAGAAGTTTTTGTTTTGTTATGTCATGTACTATCTCGTGGACCAAATGCACCCCAAGGGACTTGAGCCGGTGACCTCCAAGGAGCAAATCCAAGGCCTTACCAGTTGAGCTACCCCGCTACCCCAAATGGTCAATGTCATAATCCTATTTAACTTCCATCTAAGACGATTGAAATACTTACTTTAGGGGATAAAGGGTACTCTCCCCAACGTATGCGACTGCAGCAAAATGCATCACTGCATCAAACGCATTTTCAGAAAATATTTTGTGAACCTGAAGTATTTGATCAAGGAAACAAGATAGATAGATATATATATATATATATATATATACAAAGTTGTTTATGCAATAAACATGACTAGCATCTACTTGGTTTTAAGCTTATATTTCAGAGGATACGGATTTCGAATCTCCCAAATCGGCATATATAAATTGAAGTCTCCCAGGTTCTGGGAACAGGTCTTGAAGAACTTTGACAGCACCTATGTTTCCACGGGAAAGATTATCCTATCACAAAAAGAATTACACAAGCTCACACCACATTGTAGCAGTAAGGTTTACCACAACAATTGGATAGAAATAAACAGAAAAATACCACTATAGTCACACGGTAGGAGTCTTTTAGAAGGCGTAGTGCCGCATGAGAACCGATATAGCCAGCACCTCCCGTTACTAAGACATGAGTAATGCCCACTTCATGACGAGAGAACTTCAAAGCAAAAACACAGAAATAAGTTGAATACCAGTGACATTATTGGATATTGTAACATAAGATCCAGCAACGGCTAATTTGTTAAATGACCTTTCATGAAGCTGACGTTTACACACTAACCTTCTAGTGTTTTTTCAAGGTTTTATGGGGGCAGGCTGTTAAACAACAGAGGTTATATGAAAGTTATCTTTTGTCTCATGGTAGCCTGCTCCAGTCTCCTTACGAAACTTCTGTTGTCGAGTTTAAAAAAGTTTTAGAAGGTCATGCTCTTAATTGAAACTCATTTAATGTCATATAACAAAAGGGATATTTAGCTGAACGACCCTCGCAAAAACTGAATTTAAGAATCTAAGCCTCTAGTGTATTTCTAAGTTTTTACGGGAGCATGTTGTTTTGAATGAGGGGCAGGTCAAATAAAGGTCATTGAGCTAAAAAGAAAACTAGAAGGTCTTGCTCCTAATTGAAAACTCGTTTAAGGTCATTTACCCTACGACTATTTACGCAAATGACCTTAAATGAGTTTATTTAACAACATAACCTTCTGACAAGTTTGGTATCATTCTTGTATATGGATGTGACATTCAAAGACTTGTTAGAAGGTCATGGATTTAAAAGAAACTTCTCGCTAGGATTTAACGGGTCATTTAGGTTTATAACCTTAAATGAGACATCCTCGTCATTAGGTTATGGATTTAGTTAAATCTTATTTAAGGTTATATACCTAAACATACCAGTACTTAACATACAACCCAAATTCCAAAATCTTTGGGCCAATCTGATCTAATTGGATAATTATGAAAGAACATAACAAAATAACAGCTGAAAGCAAAGAAAAACATATAATTAAACAAAAAGAATAGGTTACATACTGCAGTAGGGGTGTTGAAAGATGGGGATTGTTTGAGCATAAGAATGCATAATGCAGTAAGGCCTGCAGCCAAAAGAATCTTTCCTACAACACCACTCTTCTTCTTTGGGTCAGCATAATCCATGCCTACAAACACAAAGGAAAACAACTTCAAACTCTCTAAAACTTCAATCTTATAGATCATCATCATCATCATCATCACTGTTTTGACTTTATAACAACAGAACCCAATGAAAAAGAAAAATTATAATCTTAAACTAAAATTGCATATACAAAATGATTAATAAGAATATTACCTCCCAAAGGATGGGATCGATTTGGCCTGGGTTGAGCTCTTGATCTGCTAAAGTTCAGCATTTGTTGAAGAATTCCTCTATGAAATATGTAATTACAGATGAATCTGTTGCTGCCCATTGAAACCACACTTTTAGTTCATCATCAATTCATGAAACATACGGGAAAGAAAGATAAGAAAGGGGACATAAAGGTACTATGTGCTATAATTGTACAACTGAAACTGTCCCCTCTTGTTATTGCAACTAAAATTCAAATTACTAAAAGAAAAACATTTCTTTTAACCTCAAAAAGGGGTTTAACTTGAAACCAAATTCATCACAGTTCAATCGTCAAGAAACTCCAAACAAACATACCCCCACAAATAATTGCATTAGATATTTACTGGGGTTGTATTAGATACCCAGATGAAGATAAGAAAATCGAAATATAAACAAGAAAACAAGAGATATTTGGGTTATGTAAATTGAGTGAAAAAGAGCAGTAAATGAGGTGAAATGCGTTACCTGAAAATGGTAGCATTTAAAGCAGGTATGTGTAAAACACAACCAGACAAGATCTGTGAAGACGGGGGAAGTAGGAGGTAAGATTGGGAATGAATTGCAGATATATACGGATATGTATATATGGTTGTTAGTACAGATTGGCGTTTGGTTGATTGAAGAAGGAGAAAAGGGTAAAGCTTGAAAACGTAATGTAGAAAAGAAGGAAAAAGGGGGGGCGTCAGACCAGGTCTCCTTCTGCTTCTCACGTTTCAATGGAGGAAGGGGGGAGGATTCTTGGGTACTGACGCCATGGTCAGGTATATGGTAGGGGTTTTTGGAGGGGGGGGTATGGGGTGGACACGTAGGGGGCGTTTACTCGTCAAATGATTGCCTTTTTTCCTGGCTTTTTGAAAAGAAAGAAAAGACCCTCAACCTTTCCATTTCTTTGCATTTAAAGAAATTATAATTATGATATTTTTAGAATTTGATAGGTTTTTTACATTATTGAAAATTTACTCTTAGTGTGCGTTTGGTTTGCGGGAATGTTTCTTAGGGATTTGGATTCCTATGAGGAATTTGGATTCCATGGGATTTGGATTGGATTGGATTTAAAATTCATTCCTGTGTTTGGTTTGTAGGATTTGGATTTTTTTTAACAGCATATGAAGTACAAATCGGAACATTAATCGGAACAGCATTAATCAGAACAGCATATGAAGTACAAATCGTCACAAAATATGCAGAAATTGAAGTATAATATGCAGAAATCGAAGTACAAATAGGAGCATTAATCGTATTGTTAAGTAGAAATTACCTGGAGGATGCGAATGGAGGATGAAAATGGAGGCTGGAGGAGATGATCAGCGACGGCGACGGAGACGACGGTGGGAGAAAGCCACGGCGATGGAGACGACCTCGAGGGGAAGCAACGGAAGCGACGGCGACGGCGACGACCTCGGGGGGAAGCGACGGCGACGGCGACGACCTCGGGGGGAAGCGACGGCGACGGAGACGACCTCGGGGGGAAGCGACGGCGACGGAGACGACCGGGAGAGAGCGACGGAGGTGAGCGATGCGATGGAGGAGAAGTTGGAGACGGGTAGCTTAGGGCAAAAAGGAATGGATTCTAAAATCCCATGTATATGGGAAGGATTCTTAAATCCATTGTTCATGGGATTTCAAAGGAAGCGACGGATTTCAATTTCTCACAATCCAGTAAACCAAACACTGGATTGGAATGGATTTCAAATCCAAATCCCCCCAATTCCATTCCAATCCCGCAAACCAAACGCACCCTTAGTTTTTTCAAAATTACCTTTTTATATTTTTGAAGTCTTATTTATTTAAATGTTTGGGTATTAAGAACGTCTGTTTTATTTCTAAAATAAGAGATTAAAAGTTTTAAACATCTTCTGAAATTTTAAGTGGTAAACATATCTATTAATACTTTTTAATCCTAAAATCCACTCTCTATTAAATGGTTCATATTTTGGAGGTTGGAAGAGATTTGTTAGCAAAAGTTAGTTATTTTTTATACTTTTGCATTAGTTTGACCGATTTAAATATCAGATTTCGGATATAAAAACAAACAATCTTACTTATTTAGATTTCAGATTTCAGGACCACCTCTTATAAATCAGAAATAAAATAATAATTCAAACTTTAACACATCTTATAAAACAAACGTCACACCTTTTGTTTCCTATTTTATTTAATAAAAAATTATATTGTTTTTTAAAACAAAAAATTAGAGAAAATTTCAAGTTTACACAAATTTTTAAATTTAATGTCCAGAGAAAGAAATCCATTTTTTTGTTCGTTTTATATAATAATATTATTTTATATAAATTCTTTTTAAAAATATACTAAAATGATAAATTTATAAAAGTTTTAATAATATCAAAACTATAGATACTTGAAAGGAAAATTATATTAAGAAAAGTAATTGCATGCTTCTTCGATTTCAATTTTTGAAACCTCTTTTTTGGAATCTACTTTTAAAAGTTTAGAATTTAAAATATTAGGAATGCTTGGGATTATTTATAAAAACAACATATTGATTTATTCCGGTGTGACACTGGTAATAAACATTTTTGAGTGTTTGGATAAAGAACATATAACGGTGTCAAATTAGTAATAAGAAGTTTTTGAAAAAGTTAAGCTATTCTGAGTTATAATAAGTTGATAAGTACTTTTATAGAAATGCATAAGTTGTTTCAAACAAGCAATCCCAAAAAATTTAATATCAAATGACTTTTCAGTTTCGAGAAGAATTTGTAAAACTCTATCCCCATCAAAAATTGAACGGACTTTTTCGGTATTTCAACCTGAAAATTTAACAAAGACATTACTATGAAGATTTTTACAAAAAAAAAAAAGGTGTTGCGTGCCCTTGAGAGTGTTGTGACCTGCTAAGTCATGGACATATCATTTTTTGTTTTTATTTGACCCCCGCAATGAAAATATGTTTCATTGATGTGTTCTTTTCGATATACATTGCAAAGATAAGATAATTAACTACAAGAGTGGTGTTTGATTGATTTGAGCTTAATTCCAAATGTCAAAAGTACTGGAGGTCTCAAGTTCAAGGAAGAATTAAAATTCCGTTGTGGCCACAGAGGTTCAAATGAGATGACTTCGGGCTATCTGCAAAGCATGTGATCGTCCTGGGATTAGTCGGCTTGCATAACGGGTTTGATTTCCAGGTTAATAAAAAAATAATTAAAATGCATTAAAATTTCAATAAAACTTGTTTCAATTTATATTTAGTGTAACAATGAATTTTGTTCTTCATTAATGTAACAAACATTAATTTAGTTCTTTTTATTTTGTAGCAATTTAGACCCTTAATCAGTAAAACTTGTAACCATTCATGGTGTGAACAGACGTTGATCCAGGAATTTCTAAAAGTGGTATCACAAAAAAATACCATAAAAACATCTCCAATAGTTATGCTAAAATAAAGGGAAAAAACGATTTTAACAATTTTTTACTCCAACAACTATGTAATCTTGTACGCTAAAATAGGAAAAAGAGAAGAGAGATTGTAAAACTCTTTAAATTTAGATAAAACTCTAAATAGAAAGATAAATTATTATTTTAATATTTGACACCAATAAGAGGTATTCAAGATAAATATTTGGAAAAGAGAGAGAATATTTTAATAATATATATTAAATATTTTAATAATAGTTGATGTTAGAATTACTAAAATAAAGCAGCTATTGAAGTTAAATTTAATTTTTTATGATTATGATTGTTAATACTTTATTTTAAAGAATGTATAACATAACTGTTGAAGATACTCTAAAGACCTAAATTTTATTTCATAACCTTTCATAAAAATCTTTCAAGTTATAATATTTATTCTTCACTCATACCCACTGAACTTATGGTTGCATTGCATATTTAAGATTTCACAAGTTTACACTTTAGCTCTATCATTTTATTGGTTTCATAGATAACCATCTTGACCTTGTTAAAAGTAGATCCTTGTTGGATGTGAATGTTAATTTGAGAGATTATATTGTAAAAATCTTGATCATGAAGAAAAATACCATTTTCAAATCAATCAGTTACACTAGACCGGTAACTTATATCTCATAAAATCTGCAAATAAAAGAGATAATTTTGTACATTTTGATCATATACCTAGATTATAAATAATAAAATAAACATATATGAAATTATAAATAATTAAATGAATATACATCAATTTCTCCAATCAATAATTATTATAAAATGTTTATAGTTGACTTTTTTTTTAAATATAATTACTAACATTTACTTTATAATCAATAAATATTTTATATTACGAATAAATAATAATGGGGAATAATTGGACTATTTATCACGTTTGATATTATTGACGTTAAGAGCATCTAGACAGGTGGCTTCGGCAACATGCTTAGAAAATGGAGTACCATATATATATATATATATATATATATATATATATATATATATATACACAGGGGTACGTTCAAATGAAAACCGTACACTTTTAAAAACCGTGTAAACCAATTTCGACCAATAAGAAAATTCTTTTTTTTCTAATTAAATTTAATCAATAAGAGTATTTCGGTCATTTACAATATTTTCTATTAAATATGAAAGTTATTAATAAATCTTAATTAAGAAAACGTAATAAAGGAAATTGTATAAATAGTAACATTTAAGTATTTAAATATATTAAAATATTAAAAATTTGGATTTCATATATTGTCATGAGTCGTGTCTTGATGAAACAATTGAATTATAGAATGAAATCATCAAAACGTAGATGAAAATCCACAAAATGAAACAGGTTTCATAAACGTGAAACCGGTTCATGTTGCAAAGAAATTATGTGAACCAAAACATTTTTATGGTGAACCCGTTGCATTGATGGTGTAGTTAATCCTTTTTTTATGAGAAGCAAAATGAAACCGGTGTATTTTGAAAAAAAAATATGAAAAGGAAAATGAAACAGGTTTCATGAATGTGAAACCGGTTCATGTTGCAAATAAATTAGGTGAACCAAAACATTTTTATGGTGAAACCGTTGCATTGATGGTGTAGTTGATTCATTTTGTTGATGAAAAGAAAAATGAAATTGATGCATTTTGAAAATATATTATGAAAAGGAAAATGAAACAGGTTTCATGAACGTAAAACCGGGTCTTATTGCAAATAAATTATGTGAACCGAAACGTTTTCATGGTGAAATCAATTTCGTTCATATAATGTAATTCAAAATTTAAAACGATTCACTCTATATAATTGAATATGGTGTGTTGTATTCTTTTTTTTTATATGTTTTATTGATGGATGTGATTTAAAGTTAAAAATAATATATTGCTTTGAAAAATGAAAATAGTGTAATTAATATCGAGAAAGATGTTACCAAATGTTAAATTTTGTTTACCATTTTTGCCCTTACTGTTGAAATAAAATAAAATTTTAATATATATATTTTTTTAATTTCCTAAAATAAAGTAAACTAATATTGGTCATTGATCAAAAAAATGAATGAATGAGATTGGTTTACACGGTTTACACAAATGGGGCAGGTTTTTATTTGAACGCTCCTATATATATATATGTATATATATATATGTATATATATGTGTGTATACATATAAACAAACTAAAATGAAGAGTTATTATTTCATTAGACCGATGACCTTAGTTAATCCTATAATTCATATTAGCATCAAGTACCCTTTTTTGCGTAA